GGCAAGGGGTTAGGGGTAATCAGGTAGGCAGGCCAGCAGTTAGGGGCAATCAGGTAAGCAGACGGCCCCTTGCAGGGCTGGTCCTGCCCCCAGCAAGCAGTTAGGGGCAATCAGGTAGGCAGGCCAGTGGTTAGGGGCGATCAGGTAGGCAGGCCAGCGGTTAGGGGCAATCAGGTAGGCAGATGGCCCCTTGCAGAGCCGGCCCCGTCCCCCAGCAAAGAGGGAGGCCCAGGCCACTGGCGGTGACTCTATGGCAGGTGTGTAGCTGGCCAGAGATCGCCCAACAGAGGGAGGCCCAGGCCAGCCAAGCCATTGCACCCCATGCCTGTCACCTGCAGAGGGAGGCCACTGTGGCAGGGGTTGGGGGCAGTGTTGCACAGATGGCAAGCAGTGGCAACGATGGGGGTGGGGCCAGCTGCCTGCAGCCAGGGGAAGGAAAGCCCTGATAGGCCCTGATCTCAGGCCAGTCCTCAGGATCCTACCCAAGGGATCCTGGATTGTGAGAGGGTGCAGGCCGGGCTGAGGAACCCTCCCACACACTCACCCCCAGTGAACAAATTTTCGTGCACTGAGGAGGGTGCAGGCCGGGCTGAGGGACCCTCCCACACACACTCACCCCCAATGAACAAATTTTTGTGCACTGGGCCTCTAGTTGTTAATAATAAGGTATAGAACATGGCATGAAAATAGTGGCTGAGAAAGGGGGAATGACAGAAGCAGAAAAGAAGGTCAAGAACAGGAGGCTAAGGTGTTGGAAAAACCATCTACATTGGTTTTCAAATCCTCAAGAACAATGGCCTAGGTAGTGCTAATGAAGGCAACAATGAGTCATGACACAAAATCTTTTAAAAATGAAGAGTGACTAAACACTGAGGACAGGGAGAGATAAGAGTAAATACATGACTTGTAACAAGGCAGGACAGTAGCAAAGTTTGACAACAGGAGCTTTATGCAAATGACTAGGGATAAAGTGGTGGTGTTGGGTGGGGGGTGGCGGGGTGCGATCATTGGAAGTGTTGGAAAGAGGAGCTAGGAAAAAAACCTTCCCACCTCCAAGCACAGAGGTACAAGTGAGGCAGAGGAAAATATCCACCACTTAAGAGTGATGCAGGAAAGCTGGGTCCTCCAGGAAGAGACAGGTTTCATGAGAGTGGAGCAAGAAGATGAAGGAATTTCATAGAAGAGAATGATACAGGAATGACTTCCAAAGGCACAGTGAGTGTCTCAAGGCATTGCACGGAGCTCTGCGAGGACTGGAGTCTGCTGGACAGGACATAACATGGTGGCCTACATGATAAAACGGGTCTGAACATCATATAGTGGAGTGCTGGGAAGGTGCGTGCCTGGGGGAGCTGGCATCTCATAGGTGCTGAGTATTGAAGGTCCCTATTCATTATTAATCGTCTAGACAATATAAAGAATATTACTGGAGTCTAAGATGTACAGAAGTAAGCCCAACTTGTTCCAGGATTACAATCTGGAAAACACCCTCCTATAACGAGGACCTGGACTTCTGTGATCTCCTTCCACAGAGCTCTGCCACAGACTATAACATTCTAGAATCTGCTTTTGAAAATAAATTGTACTTTTAGTGCTATCACCTCTAAGTTTAAAAAGGTTGGAATCAAAAAGAGGAAAAATATTTATTTTCAGATCAGGCACCTGCTGCTTTCAATTTATATTTTGAGTAAACCATTAGATGTGAAAACAGCAGAGTGAAATGCACTGTGTTCTAACCTCCCTAATTAACAGCAGTCGGTTCAGAGCAACCTTAGGCAGGGTCTCCTTTTCTTCACTGAGAGGACCAGGGGAGACCTTGAAGGCAAAATGTGTGAGCCCTGTTAAAGAAAACCTCAAACAACAGATAAGCACTGGAGTCTTTGAAGAAATTGTGAACACCCTCTGGGGAGAAAATTAGACTTGTGAACTTAAAAAAAATGGCACACAAACATTTTAACACAGAACTGAGGACAGAAGTCAACAGGGATATTTCCACCTGAAGATTGCCTGTTGAGGAAGAAATTAGTTTTGAACATCAAAAATAAAGGAACAAAGGGAGCAGACAACAACATTAAATTAGTGTTCTTTCCTCAAGAAAAAAATCCCCTTGACCTTCCCACACACAAACACAGTAATCAAGCTCTGCTAATGAAAAAGGAAACCTCTCTCCAAATAAGAAAATCTAACTCTAAGAAACCAATCATACAACGAGTTGTCTTTATAAGACCTCTATATTGTTGCTCCTTCAATAAAGTGGCTGGGTTTTGAATGACCTCTTGTTATTAAATAGATTATTGGCTTTATTCCTCTATTTATCAACAATTTATTATCTGATGCTATTCATTTTTTACCATTAACTAAAAAGGTGCAAGGCTTCAGACTACAGACAATTGATGCCATTTTCCCCTCAGAATTGTGTTGGGAAGGAAGAATTTTCTTCTACCCTATAAAGATTCTTTCAACTGGTCTGATAATCAACTAGATGTGAGAAAGTATGACAGGAGAAAAACAAATTTAATTTTGTACATACCTGCATGGGAGGTTAGACAACAGAAAGGGAATAGGAGCCATATATGCCATCTTGAGCTAAGCCTGGGGCTTCAGAGGAGAAGAGGGTAAGTTACAGGACAAAAAGATCAGATGTTTGCTCTTCTATACAGATAAATCATAACATTTTATTTTTGGTCATAACTCTTATTATGGGCAAGGCCCCAATTTAAGGGAGAGGTACAAGTTTCTCTTAAGTCTGAAGGGTCTCAATTGCCTTTAACTCAAAATAATCCTCACACCAAAGTGGCACATCTTGGGGAGGCCTGTTCTGAATTCAGGTTTAGAGGCTGCTGCAGTCAGACCTCCACGTGATGTGTGCAGAGGTGATATTTAAACCAGTGTTCCCTTATAATTATGATTTGGCTCCCAGCAAACCTCATGCAGGTTTCTTCTGTGTTGGTTGCTGTATAATTCAGAAAAATAATCTTTAACTACATGTAGTGATGGTCTCCAAATATTCTTGCTTGAGGAGCCTGTTAACTAAGTTCTAAAAATGTGTACTCTCTCTCTCCTCACATTTTTAAGTTGTCATCTAAGGTTTGGCTCATTAAGTTTAAAAGTTGTACTTCCTAGTCTACATTAAATACTAACATTTTATATTTATAAAATATGTATATAAATTGTCAATATAACTCAAACATATCCAATGAAATATGTCATTGTATTATCATTCATTTCAAAAAATACCTGAACAACCTCTCCTTTAAAAGAAAAGTTTCATTGCTCCTTTTTCTTCCAGACACTATGCTCATATTCTACTTCTCTCAAAGAAATCTCATTAAGGGAACATTTCAAAGAATAGCCATTTAGTGAGTTAAGGCAACTTGTACTAAAGGAGTCTCCTCTGGTTCAGTACTTAATTTTTTTTTTTAATCTTCACACCAGAATATTCCTCCATTGATTTTTAGAGAGAGTGGAAGACAGAGAGAAATATTAATGTGAGAGAAACATATTGATTGGTTGCCTCCCACATGCACCCTAGGAGGAGCCTGCAATCAAGGTTCATGCCCTTGACTGGAATTGAACCGGAACCCTTCAGTCCATAGGCTGACTCTGTATCCACTGAACCAAACTGGCTAGGGCCAGTACTTAAAATTTTTCTTTGTTTACCATTCCGAAAATTTCAGGTTGGGAGAAAGGTATACCATTCTTTTGCAAAATGGAAGAAAGGGGGAGGGGGTAGAGAAATAGAATCAGCATGGATGCCTCCACCCCAGGTATTTTATGAGGCAGCTGGCTTTTAGGAAAGAGAACATGTGGACACTGAGCTGCAAAGTGACATCTTTGAATCCATCTGTGCCCAGTCACCCCGTGGAAAGTTTCATGTGCCACCAAGAGTGTGCTTATTCACATGCAGACCATATTAGCAGAGGCCATAAATGACTGCTTCTCTCGATGCCTTTTTGTGTGGAATCCATTCTGGTGTTGCCTGACTTCTCTGGAGCAAGCTTGGGACAATGGAGAGCATGGCTCACAGATGGGGGAGGATTGTTCACAATCATCTGGCTCTTTCAGTCTGGGCTGCTTCAAATGAGAGAGAGGCAAAATCAGCACAATGAAATAACTCAGAGGAGACGAGAGAGTGGGGACAGGCCAATCACAAAGGCAGAGAAGAAGACATTTACAATTTGCTCCTGGCGCCTTCAATTCGTGGAGTCGGCTTCTTTGTGTTTGCCCCCTCTCCCTGGGAGCATGAGGGACAGAACAAGTACAGGAAAGCTGAAGTTACCCCTACAGTCTGGAGTTAGCCACTAGCAAACTAGTATCCTGCTCAATCAAACCAGCTCTGGGTTTGTCACCTAGATCAAGAAACAAGCTGTCACCTAGATCAACTTACTGATGGTCTCTATCAGAATAATGTAGACAATGCAGTACATATGTCAATATTTCTTGGTGAGGCTTAAAATAATTAAAATTTGCACATGCTCTGCACAATTCCTGGCCCACTG